CTCCTCCTCCTCCTTCTAGAGATGGAATCTCACTATGTTGGAATCTCAAACTCCTGGCCTCAAGCAGCCCTCCTGAGTCAGTCTCCCAAAGTGCTGGGATTACAGGTGTGAGCCGCCCCTCGCCTGGCTGGCACATTCTTTTAAACATCACTATTTGCAAATGTTGCACCCTGGGAGGCAGAGCTCCCTCTGCTTGGCTGGTCCTCTTCTTCCACACGGAAGTCCCTGAGGGAGCTTGGCAGAACCCCAGTCAGAAAACCACAGATCACACCCAATGCCTGCAGCTGACCAAGAGGGAACTGGGACTGGCCGAGGTCACACAGGGAGCGAAGGCTTGGGTCCTGGCAAGCACCCATGTTGTCCAGGCCTCAGTAAGAGAGTAAGTGGAAGGATGTGACCTTTTAGTATTTGCCTAAAAGTAGGTATTTTAAAAGTTCATCTGGGGTAGGTGTGGTGGTTCATACCTATAATATTAGCACTTTGGGAGGCTGAAATAGGAGGATGGCTTGAGACCAGAGATTTAAGATCAGCCTGGCCTGTACAGATAGCAAGACTCTGTAGCTACAAAATATATATATTAGCCAGGCATGGTGGCACACACCTGTAGTCCTGGCTACCAGAAAGCTGAGGTGGGAGGTTTGCTTGAACCCAGGACTTCAAGGCTGCAGACAACTATGATTGCACCACTGCACTCCAGCCTGGGGAACAGAGAGAACCTGTCTCTTAAAAAAAAAAAAAGTTAGTCTGGAACGGAAGACTTATATGTGTGTTGTCCAAGGTGCCCACGACATACAGTCTCGACCAAATGTTCACAACACTGCTAGTCACTGCGAGGAGCAGGGTGGCCATCCAGGCTGGGGATGTTATAGGGTGGAGGGAGCTTTCCTTGTGTGGTGGCCATCAGACCACCGCACAAAAGTTTACTTGGTGAAATGCCAGCTTGGGAAGGACTGGGGTCTATAGGAAAAGACATGTGCCCATATCAGGTGGGAAGCCCCTGGAGGAGTCTCAGAAGACAAGGACTTCCCAGTGGGCTCAAGCTGGCAGAAGCTGACAGGAGTGCAGGGCACTTCCCAGGCCAGAGCCCCCAGCCAAGCTGCCACCTGGCATTGTGGTCGGCGGAGGACTGTGCCTGGCACACAGTAGGACTCCACCAAGATGGGCAGAATGAATGAAATGCAAGTGACTGGTGATAAAACGCTGACCACGCTCGGTCATGAACTACATTGGATCGGCGGGTCCTCCGTGATGACAGTCACCCATCTGGACCTTGTGCCCCTTCTCTAGGGGGCTCAGAGCCAACAGTGAGTGACTGTGCGGGGCCCTGCCACTCTGCAGAAGTACCACCGAGGTGTCTCCCAGGTGTGTTCTGCCGGGTAAGGGAAGATGAGACCTCAGGGTGCCTCACGGCTTGCATCACTCCCAGCATGGAGGAGGCAGGCCCTCGCACTCGCCTGGACCGCTCCATCCCACATCCCGACGGATCAGCACAGCCTCCCAGCCTCCCTCGGTCATCCCCAGAGCACCTGCAGCCCCTGCCTTCTCATCCCAGCCCCCCTTCCCAGCTCTGTCTCCCCAAATGCCCCTCTGCACTCAGCCCTCTTCGTGACACCTTTGGGAGCGCCTGAGCGGAAGTCCTTGCTCTTGCCTGCCTGGCCATAGTAGGTGCTGCCTCATCTCTGGCAATGTGGGCCTCTCTCCGCCTCCTCCACGGATGCAAAGGGCTGAGTCTGTTGAAAAGACCGTGCAGACGTTCAGGAAGAGCGTGTTGAACAGGGACCCGACGACGTCGTGGGGCACAGAGGTGTCGCTGTGGATGCGGATCACGGTGGACGTCGTGAGAGCAGAACTGTGGGATGTCCCCAGCACAGCCCCTTCGTGCTCCCCCTGGAGCATCTCATAGTTTGAGGTGGCGCCGGCGCTGGCCCGAGTGAAGGTCTGGGAAGTGTGGTTCATGGTGTGGAGACAGGAACAGCTGTGGGTCCAGATGTGGTGAGGATGCTCAGGGGGTCCTTTCCAGGAGTTTCCATTTCTCAGCCTTTTTTCTTCCTGGCGTTTGGCAAATTGGGAGTCCGGGGACAGGAAGGTGGTGGGCGACGTGACCGGGGCCCAGGCCTACGCCTCCACCGCCGAGTGCCTGAACGTCTGGGCCCTGAGCCTCGGCATCCTTGCGACCATTGGCGTCATCCTTGTTCTGGTTTGATCTTCGCCGTCTGTCAGGAGACTGTGAGGCAACATGGAGTTCATTATCTGCCATGGCGAGGCCCCATGTGCCTGACCTTCCATTCTCTTCCCCCTGCCTCGGCCCCTTTATACAGCAGTTTGTACTCATGCACTTTTCTACAGTGGGATCGATAAAGTGCATGTGTCACACACACAAAAAAGACAATGCATATGTTGAAATATGAGCCAAGAATGTCTATCCTCTGGCATGGAAAGGCAGAGCCTAAGGCCGCCCTTGATCCTGCAGGAGGCTGCACTGGGGGCTTCACTGAGGCCGGAAAGCCCAGGTCCCCTGAAATGCAAGAGAAACCAGCAGTAGGAACGATTTTCCCGAGGGTCGGTGCAGAGCCGTGGAAGAGTCCACCTCCATCCAGGCCAAGGGCCGGATCCTCGGAGAACGTCCCACCAAGAGCCCAGGTGGACAAGGAGGACCCTGCTGTGCTGGTGACGGCTGCTTCTGCCCAGGTCCCAGGCGTGTCGGGGGATGGCAGGCCTGTGACCACAGCCCCTCATGTGGGATTTACTGCCCAAAAAGGCCCCTTCTGCCTTCGTGGTCATGACTTCCAGAGCCCGCAGGGAGGCAGTTGCGTGAGAGAGAGACCATCGGTGTCAGTGAGCAGAAGAGAATGTGGCGATCTCTGTGGAAGGTGGTGGGAGAGCTGGCCAGAAGGGTTTGCAGCGACTGGACCCTCCGATTTCTGGCGGTGGTGTGGCCCAGGAAGGAGAGTCTTGGGGGAAATAATGGAATTCTGTTGGCTTAATATTCAAACAGTGGTGACCAGTTCTGTGGAGGCAGAACCCAGATGGAAAAGTCAAAGACTGCTGGAAAGGAAAGAGAACGAAAGGAGACAGATTTCACCCAGCAAGACTGGACGTGCTCAGCAGACAGGGAGAGGCAGGCAGCCGGATACAGGCAGTCTGGGGCATCGTGGCCTGTTGGGAGCCAGCCTTGGAGGCCCGCCTGATTGACAAAGTCCAGCTGCGCTGAGGACCCCCGGCCGCAAAGTGAGTCCGGGCAGCTGAGGCCCTTCTGTCTTCCATCTTTGCTGTTTGGTACCGCCAAAGAA